CTACACAATTTCAACAGTCTATAGCCAAGACTTTTTGGATAATAAAAAGCAAAACAAAAAAAATTTCACTCCAAAGTGCCCACGAACCTGCATCTCTACCTTAAAAGAAATATTTTAAATAAATGTTAAATATTGCTGAATATGCTTCTGTGACCTAAGTGATGTTACAACCAGCCACTCATTCAGCCAACCAATGATGCTGTAACAAAGCGTATTTGACACAAATTGAAAGGTTTCCAATAAGAGGTGTATATTCAAATTGCATGCATATTTTATGTATAAATATTGACAAACGAAATTGTTATATTTATATTGTACATGTAAATATAGTTCTGTTTTTGAGAATAAATTCTCATTTGTCGTCATCACAAGTATTTTCTTTTTCAAAACTAGAGGTGGATATCCAAGCTGTAGGCATAAATGAATTTCACTGTCATAATAATAACACTGTTTTCATCAAATTGTTTCTATGGTGCATGTGGATTGCCTTAAAATGCTGTAAAAGTTATTCATTTCTACCCCTAGTATAAATTAGCATTTATCAATCTAATTTTATGTATTTAATTTGTTAATGAAAAATGTTTCAATATACATGTACATGGTATATCAGCATGCATACAATAGACAGTAGAAAGCTGTTGACTGTGTCACAATACAATACATGCTCTCCCTATTGCTAGCATACATGTGTAAATAATAATTTTAATCTGGTCGCGATGTTCACTAAATACCAAGTCATTTGCTGCCATCAAATCATCCCATAATTAAATATTGGTAGTGTTCTTTTTTGTACGCGTTGATCTGGAATTCATCACACATATCTGTTAAAATAAAAGCCATATTTTGTGCGTGCCCAGTGCTACGACTAGTACACTTTAACATTTCACTGCTTGGAATCTTCAGCCTTTCAATGATTTAAGGGCACTTAAAAGTTACTGCCACTTGACTCTTGACTCTCCATTGTTACTGAATTGCTACAGAATTTCAAAATTCTTTCCGACTTGCTAAATTTACTAATATCCACCAACTGATGCAACAAATGGTTCCAGTCTTCTTTCTTATCAGTGACCTCATTCCTGGTTAACACACTTAGTGGAATACAAATATTATAAAAGAAGAATTTTGATGAAAGAAGAAAAAAACAAAACATGGCATTCCACGGGTCCCTTGCATATAAATAATAAACATTTTTGAAAAGTTAAAAATAGGAACAGAATTTAGTGTTAATTAATTATATTTTCTGAGGCACTATTTAGATCTAACTACTGTACCATACAAAGTAGTCCATACTAAACAACATTTGATTTTTTACTCATACAAACTTGTACCTCTTAAACCAATTTAAATGTAAATAATGTTTTTTTTTAATTTTAGTATTAGATATACAAATAAGTGCAAGTATTTTCATATAAAATTCTAATTGAGAATAATAAATTTGTTATTTATTTGCTGGTACATGTAGTATGTAAAGTACAAAGGTAATTGTTAAACCTGTTAATGATAACAAAATATTTCTACCAAGTATTTACAATTGAAGTATCACATAATTCAGTGGCTTATAATGGCTTATATCACAGGTATTGAAATGAGGGCAGTGTTTCCCAGAGTGCAAGAATCAGACCAATGATCTTCATGTAGAGTTGCATGGGAGGTCATTTCGGGTCAGTAATATATTTTGTGTTGCTATGTTGCCACCCAGTTAACTAGTTTTAGGTCAAACCATAGTGAAATGTGGTCTGCTATATAATCTTACCCGATAAGTAGGTGGTATTCATTTATCGCACCAAGTTTAAGTTGTTATTGGGTGGCTCTGATATGTAAGGCATTCTAAGATTTGGTTCCAAGTCTTTAAATCTGTCCAGTAGAACATCTTTACTCGATATAATGACACTACTGCGAGGAAGATGAATTTCTATCTACGCCGTGTGAGATTAGTGAAACTGCCTTCATTTGATATCTTCTACAACCGAACGGTGCGTACATTCAACTTATAAACCATTAGTGCATTTCTTGTACATTCCAACTATGTTGAAGTCTAAATAATATATGGCTTTGTACTACATCTGTGTCTATATCTATGTACACAATGTGAAACTTATATAATTCTGAATAGAATAATTTGTAACAAGTTTTCTTTTAGATTTTTCTAAACATGTCCATAATACTTGAGTTTTACAGTGCCAAGCATGCATTAAATGCATTATAACATTTCTTTGTATGGTTTTACCCATGCCCTGATAACCTATCAAGGGATACTTATTTTTAGCATCTAGTAACTTAAAACTGTACATATGGTGCCTACCATACTGTGGCTCAATTATACCTGGAATTTGTTAAAATAAAACTTACTATAAGTACTGGGATTATTCCCTTGTATAACCAATATTTTAGATTTAATAACATATGTATTGTGAACATTTCTATTACTACTGATGTTTGTCTCTATAATACATGCTTGGATGATTAAGGATACAGATCATCAACTGGGCTTTGTACTACACATACATGTGGTAGTAATCCCTGATTCCAGGACTTCTAATGGTTCATGTTTAAGTCTCAGCTGTGATAGAGATCTGTCTTATAAATGGGACTTGCATTGCTGCTCAATTGTTACATATATAATTATGTCTAACTAAAACTAGACAGTTAAGTTTCCTAAATGTAAGCTCGTAATTAAAATGTTTCCTTAATAAAAACCTCACTACAATGTTGTTATGAAGTGCTGGTAGTTCAAACAAATATGTAACGATCCTCTTTATAAATTTCTAGTATTCTTAATGACTGATAGTTCTAGAACAGTAATTGGTTGTCTTGATATATTGTTAATTTTGACAATTTTAATATTTGTAATCTGTCTATAGTGTTTGACATGAGTAGATATATTATTAATAAAGTATCACAAAGCCTTAATCTTGTTATTGTCCAGTCAATTGAATTATCCTTTGAGACACTAGACTTACTCAACATGTTTTTTTTATCAACTTCTTTCAGTCTTAGATGTTCAGAGATGATTTCAAGTACATGTATATTTACTAACTCTTGGTTATTATCTCCTGCCAAATATCTTAATTTTATCAAGATAGGTTATAACCACTACCAAATATTCTTGCTTGTCATTCTTAACTTCTAAATATTGTCCCACTTGACCCGATTTCATAGTACATATATAATGATAGATTAGAGAACTAACCCCCCCCCCCCCCCCAGCCACAGTGTGGATAGTATGACTGGTATAAACATAATAATACTTGCATCTGTTTATACTGTACAGTCTTTTATGCAACTGAACCTAAACCAAGTAGGGCTGTATGCCTGTACATCTGTGGCTTATAGCTTAGGATGGAAACAACTAATCTGCACTGAGAAAATCTACAGTAAAACACACTATACTCATACATGTATATAAAAAAGAAAGAGAGCCCCTAAAACATTTAAACTTTTATAGCACCAATATTTTTGGGGAAAAATCTAGCTCACAAATATATGAAGTACTATATAATGACTAATATTAAGTAGGTTTCTATATTGGCAGAGCTCTGAATA